TGTCTCAAAAATAAATAAAACGTTAAAAAAAATTTTTTTAAAAACTGTTCATTTAATAAAAAATTGTAAAAAAAAAATAGTGGAAGTTTTAGGTATAAATTATTCCAAATGTCAAAATTTACAATGAAAATACAAAATAGGGGTCAAAGATCTTATTATAATACATATAATTACTCTTTAATTAACATTAGTGATTATTTTTTACTTCTAAAGACAGCTTTTATGTAAACTTACTTTCAAAGATGTACAAAAGGTAAGAAAGCATGCCTGAGTTTCCTTTTTTCTTAATATAATACTGTCTTCAGCCTGCTTTTCAGTGGAGGGAGTAATGAGTAACAAAACAGACCAAACGGGAAATATAACTAGAAAAGAGAAGGAAAGATAAAATCCTAATTATACCTACGGTATTAAAATTTTAGACTCATGGCAAGAGTCGATCTTCTTTCATTCTATTTTTGGAGAAAGAGAGGTGCCTCATGAAGAAAGCAAGAGATCTCAAAACCCCCGACTTGAAAATAACTCCTTCACATTTTTTTTAAAAACTGTTTTATTTCTGACAGGGAGAGACAGAATGCAAGCAGGGGAGGGGCAGAGAGGGAAACACAGAATCTAAAGCAGGCTCCTGGCTCTGAGCTGTCAGACAGAGCCCATCACAGGGCTCGAACTCACCAACCACGAGATCGTGACCTGAGCCCAACCTGAGCTTAACTGACTGAACCACCCAGGTGCCCCAATCTCCGACATATAATACTTTTCCAGAAATTATCCAATTATTTAATGATTAATGATATTTTAAATATGTAAGTGATTCAGGGACGCCTGGGTGGCTCAGTTGGTTGACCATCCGACTTCAGCTCAGGCCATGATCTTACGGTCCGTGGGTTCAGGCCCCGCATTGGGCTCTGTGCTGACAGCTCAGACCCTGGAGCCTGCTTCAGATTCTGTGCCTCTCTCTCTCTCTGCCCCTCCCTGACTCACACGCTCTCTTTCTCTGCCTCTCAAAAATAAAGAAAACTAATAAAAAAAAAATTAAAAAAAAAAGTGATTCTTGGGAAGACTTAACTTACTAATGTAACTAGATTCACAAATAACAAGTTTCTGTCTATAAAAAAGTTATCTAAAAGGACCCAAAAGATACATATGCAAGTAACTGTAATACAAAGAAAAGGTAGTAACACTATAGGAGTTACTTCCTGAGGGGATGGGGCTAGAGAAAGTATTACTAGACTTGGGGAAAATTATGACTATCACAAAGAAGATGTTGAGTCTCAAAGGACGGTTGGGGAATCCCCAACAAAGCTGATGAAAAGCATGTATGGAGAACGTGCCCAATTTGGAGGAAGCACAACGTATATGAAAGAGAACAGCTGGAGATACAACTGAAAAGACAGAATGAGTAAGGATCATAAAAAGCTGTAAATGTCAGCAATGACATATTATGAATAAATAATATGAATAAACACAATCTGAATAAAAACAGAAAACATGGGTAAATGACATCAGTAGGCAAAAAGGACTGTTACGATCACAGTTGCACGTTTGTAAATATTTATGAAGTATTTATAATGTCTTAGCTATATACAGGTGAATAGGATCAGTGGCTCTTGACCTTCCAGGAGTGTGTCAATTCTGGTTCTGTTTGCTTTCAATCTCTTCTTCCTCTTTCTCTGCTGCGAAAGATAGGAAACCTGACCCCACGCAATGTTTCCTAGGCTCCAGGTCAGCTGGCTTCTAGCTGCATCCAAACAATGCGAAGCACTGGTGGGGGACTGGAGGGCAACTGGAAGAAGCCATATTGTTTTCTCTCACTTCTTCTTTACCTTGGCAGAATATCCTCTGTGACAACTGCTCCCTCACCAGACAAGTCTACCTTCCATCTTCCCCAGAGAGAACCCAGCCTCTGGATTGCTTCATCTCTCCTTGTCCTCCTGATTATCATAGTGGCTTCCTGCTGAGGTTACTCTGAGTCTGTTCACATAAGCTGCTTGTCTTCTTAGTTCTTCTATCACCAGTGTAACCAATTCTCTCATTAAATCCCTTCCCTTTAAATACTCACATTGGTTTTAAGTTTTCCTGAACGGACTCTGAATCATATAGAAAGGAACAAACCTATTGACAAATCCAAAAACAGTTCTGGATCCTATACCCATAAAAATGCCCAACTGTACATAAATCTTTACAGACAGTTTTGGGGGGCTTCCAAGAACCCTCGAAGCTGGTCTTATTAATCTCTGATCAAAAATCCAAAGACAGAAGGGCAACTTTCAGTTTGGGAATATGAAAAACTACAGGTCGATGATGGTGATGGTTACAGAACAATGTAAATGTACTCAATGCCACAAAACCATACACTTAAAAATGGCTCAAGTGTTGTATATATTTATATTATGTACATTTCACAAACATAAGTAAATACGGCATTAGATGGAACGTCAGGTGGGGTCTAGGAAAAGTATTTGGGGGGCAGGAGGGGCACATGCGTAAGGGTAAAAGAAAAAAAACACAACCCTAATTATGTGAACTCTAACGGGAGAACTTGTCTATTCTTAGCATTTAGCACAGTGTCCGATACTAAGCAAAGATTTGCTTAAAGAACATTATGAATAAAAGGAACCAACAAAAAGGGAGCTGCTGAAAAAGGTGCTTTGTACTGAAAGAAGAATCATGAGGAAATAATGAAACTATTACTATTTTAGGCTTCTATGCTTTGTAATTATGGATCACCAGGTGCTAACATAACTTCAAGATACATAATACTAAGTGAGAAGAGTACGAATGGGTGTGGGTGGGGAGTCTTTCTTTTCTTTTGTATTACACTACACTCTTTTGCCCAACTTTAAATTTTGGTAAGTGCATACGTTTTTCAACTTTTAGAATAGGAGGTGTAATGTGAATGCTTTAGGCAGACTTGTTCAATAGTAAATATCAATTGCAAGACTATTTGAGAAGCCACGAAAGAGGTCCAAAGGAAGGCATGGGGGGCAGGCATATTAAGTAGGATTGGCGGCAATTAAATTGGAATGTGAATGACAAAGAATTTTAGGAAAAGAAACAATTAATTTGGAGTTTTTATCCATTAAAAAAACTAGGAAGTCAAGCAGAGCAGATGGCTTGTGGAGAACACAAGTAGGTGTGAATTATTCCAGTTAGAAAATCATATTGCTTTCAGACTGGTTGTTTTTAGCTGGGGGTGATTTTGCCCTCCAGGGAACATACTGGCAATAGAGACATTTCTTAAATGTCATAAGTGGGTGGGGGTGGGACTGAGGTCTTACTGGCACCTATCCATACATGCCAGGTATCTAAACATCTCACAATGCACAGGACAGCTCCCCATAATAAATAATTATCTGGCGCCAAAAGTCAATAGCGAACAAGGTGAGAAACCCTGTTAAGGACTTCTATTGTTACATAAAATCCGGTGGATTAACCAAATTGCCAAAACTCAAAAATTCATAACCAAATGATACACCTTCAAGAAAAAACAAAGTATGTCAATATTATCTTCAACACTGTGAAAGTCTACTTTAGGTTATGAGGTTTACCATAAACCTCATAAATGTAACTAACAATTACAAGATAGCCAGCTTTTTCTCACAGATAGAGATGGAGGCTAACTACTGATAAGTTCTCATAAAGTGGACAAAACAGTAACCAAACATTAGCAAAAATACTAGTTTAAGCTTATGTCACTAGTTTCTCCAAAAACGGGCCGTGGAACCGTTAGTCTCTCCTGTTTCCTGCAAAATGTGCTCATCAAAAGCCCCGTGCACGAAGGCCTGTTTTTCTGGGCAGGGCTGAATATTTAAAAAAGTAAGACTAATGGGATTTTCTAACAATAAGGTAACAATGGCAACTACTGTGGACACGACGGGAAATTTCATCAGAGATGTTTACCATTTACTTTCAGGGGTGTCGCGTATGAGGTCTGCAAACCACTGGCTCGGGATCTGAGGGTTTGAGCTTCCTACAGATCTGGTGCTCAGCAGCACGACCCTCTCCATTCTTTTGGGAACAAACAACAACAAAACCCGTTTCCCACAGAAAGAATACGCCCTGACAACAGGCCCGCTGAACCGACCGTCCTCAAATGGAGGAAAACACTAACCATCAGAGCTAGAAAACGTTCAACTGGAAGGCATTTCCTCTGCGAAATTGCTCGCCCGTCCTGTTTTAGAACATGCAGCTGGCATTTCAGACCTCGGTGCCGGACGACTAACTGCGGGGAGGGAGGGTGAGGGATGGGGAGGCAAGATCACCCCCGTTCGCCCCACATTCGTAGTTCTAAGGGCGAGGGACGAATAGGGCGTCGGGAAGGTCTTTCTGCACGACCGGGTGGCTCAGGGACGTCCTCATTTTTCCTAATTAGAACGTGGGTCCGTCCGTCTCGTCCACAAGGCTCCTTGCAGGGGTCCCAACGAAGCTTGCAGGCCCGCTCCCCCTCCGAATCCGGGCCTCAGGTGTTCCGCCCGGGCTTCTCCTGGGCCCTCCCCTCGCCACGCAGCCTCCGGGGAGCGCAGCATCCACACAAAGAGGCTTAAGCGGTCCGAGAGCCCGGCTGGGGGAGAACGGCCGCCGGTCAGAACTTGCAAACGCGGAGGCAAAGCCCCAGAGCCTCCCCGCCCCGGGAGAACCTCTGGCCCCAAAGGTCGTTCCGTCCTGCTCTGCCTGGCCCACTAACTGTCCCTCCCGCGCCTGCACTCACCCAGAACCAGCCGCGCAATGTCCGAAGGTAACAGCATGACCGAAGCCGCAGCAGGAACCGCAATAGGAGACGAGACTCAGGTGAAAGCCCACACACCGACAGCTCCTGCGCCGCATCTCCGGGTTCCAGTGGCGGCACCGAACCCGCGGCAATTTGGCCCGCCTCTTTCGCCCCACGTCCGCCAATCGCTTCCGCCGGAGAAAGAAAGGCGCCGAAATGAAACCCGCCTCCGTTCCCGTCGGAACTGTCGTCACTTCCGTCCTCGCGTTAAGAGGGGTGGGGCTGAAGGCGGCGAGGAGGTGGGATGCAGGCGCGGGAGCCCAAGTCGGAGGGCGAGCGGAGAGCTCAAGTTCGCATGCCATTGGCGGGCGACGCGCAGGCGCGTTCGCTCAGACGAGCCGAATGTTTTGAGGGGAGCGAGGGCAGGAGGCGGAGAGCGTGCGGGGGTCGTCGCGCATGGGCAGACCGTGCCCGCTCCTGGGTCACTCTGACTTCTTCCTCCGGAGACCCAGGCTGTGCGGGCACGCCGCGTTTGAACCGGAAGCGGGAATAGTGGGTGTCTACTCGGCTGGAGCCGCTGTGGACGCGGGGAAAGGCGAGTGGAGCGGGATTTAGGCTGCAGCCGCCGCCTCCGCTTTGGGAAATTGCACTCTGGCCGTTCGAGTGCAGCGGTAGGTGCGCGGCGAGCAGGCAGCGGCTTCTGCGTGGGGGTACTTGAGGGGCGTCCAAGCCATGCTGTGCCAGCCCCATGATGGCCGGTCACCCTGCTGCTCTCTAGAGGCGTATTCCGCTTTGCACTTTTCTCCCGCTCTCTCTGCGATCCCGTAGCGGACTTAGCGGAGTTAATAGCCGGGACTCTTCTGCCAAATGCCGCGTTGAGTCCTCCTGCGCGTCCCCTTTCTCTGTCCCCGTATGGACCAGCTGTAACTAAATGACTTGACTAATCATGCCCCCCGTCTTCTTTATTAGATTTGATCTACGAGCATCTGTTGAGGTTTAAACTAGATTGGCGTGCGTTGGAGCGCGGAGTGTGGAATTACTTTTGCTGGAGCTGGAATTCTGGCTGACATCTGCAACCGCGCTGTACAGTCTCCCTTGTGATTATTCTGGCCTGTGGTGAGCACTCAAGAGCGTTCGCTGCTGTTCTTGCCGGGTACCGAGAAATTTTAGACTTTTTTTTTTTTTTTTTTTTAAAGAGTGGCAGAGGGAGGGAGAGTGAGGATCTCAAGCCGGCTCCAAGCTCAGCGCTGGGCTGGATCGAACGACCCTGGGATCATGACCTAAAAAGAAATCGAGCGCCCCATGCTCAAAGGACCGAGCCACCCGTGTGCCCCGCTGGGCACAGACAGTAAAAGGACCCTTAGAGCTCAGGGGGATAATCTGAGAGAGATCTGTGAGATCTGTGACGGCAGAGGAGCAAATGAGGTTGTGTGGTAAGACCTCCAATTGTTCAGTTGCCCCCGGAGGGGTATGGTAGGTGCCTTGCAGACAAGGGGAAATGCATGTAAAGGCATAAAGTGTGGAAGGTTTCTGAAGCTCAAGAGTGAGGTCTGGCGTGGAATGAAAGATGTGGGCATTTTCAGCATGGTGGGGTCTTAGGGATGGATGAGACAACCTTGGGAGAGCATAGGTTGAGAAGTAAGGACACAAAGATCCTCTTGCAGGTGTGGGTGGAAGAAGAACCAGCAAAAAAGATTAAGGAAACAAAGGGAATAATGATAATTGGTAGCAATGGTTGGGCATTTGCTGTGTTCCAGGCACTGTGTTAAACACGCGCATGCACCCTTACAAAACCTTTGAAGTAGGCACCCTTACAATACCTTTGGTATTGTTTTTTATTTTATTGTTGACAGAACTGACGTTAGAGGAAATCGCAATCTTGCTCAGGCTTATACAGTTTGTAAATGGCAGGACGAGGATTTGAACCAGTAAGATCTAAGTACAGAGCCCACACTATTACACCGGGAAAGAATGGCATGCCAAGGCCAGAATTGTATGCAGGAAGATGGGGTGTAGGTATCATTGTCAAATTCTGTAAAGGGACCAACTTGATGGAGATCTAAAAAGGGACATTGGATTTGCCATCTCAGAGGCTGTTGCTTAGGAAATGTGTATTGTTTAACTGCATGTTGGTAGTGGAATGTAGATAGTTCTGGATGAATGTATTAATCAAATTCTACCTGATCTGTTGACTCTCTTGCTGTAGCTGACTGCTTTGTAGTTCTTTGGTTTTCTTTCACTTCCTCCAACATACCATGCACTTTTCCATTTTAAGACCTTTTGGTGATACTAGTCTCCACTGAAATGTTGGCCCTCTAGCTGTTTCATTGATTGGCACCCATTCAGATCTTGGCTTTGTTGTAACCTCTGCTGGGATGTGTTCCCTGGCACCTTATCAAAAGTGATCTTCTCCATTGTTATTGTATATTGTGTTTCCTTTGAGTCATATATCAGTTTGGAATTACACATTTATTTTTCAGTGTACTCGTTTGTCGTCACTCTCTCTCACCATTTCTGACTCCACAAGGGTAGGATTTGTGTCTCTTACCCGTAACATAGTACCTCGAACACAGTAGTTGCTCAGTAAATGTTGCATGTATCAGTGATTGAACATTTCCTGATTGAACTGTTGTGTTTTCTTGAAAGTAATCCAGTTTTTGGGAAACGGAAGAGAGAAAAATAGAAAGAAGCCAGCAGAAAAATCACAGCTTTAAAAAAGAATTTGAGGGCTACATCTTCCTGGAAGTGTCACGTGGTCAGTAAACATGTGATTTTTTTTTTTTACATTACAAACAACATGTTTAGTATATCTAGAAATAAATGTGCCTACCTTTATGGTTCTTTGGCTGTTGCAAAGGTGTTTTCATTGGTTACAATCCCAGTTTTGTTTTCCATATTGACTCACTCCAAGAGGGTTTTAAGCTAAGAGTGAGTAAGAAGGGGGAAGAGTCCTAGATAAAATTGTGAGGAATGGAAATGAAAATAGCATGAACATGAAAATAATAGTTGTTTTCCTCGAGAAGTTTACGACCAAACAAATAAGACTGTCAAGTAAATAACATCCTGTAATCCACAGCAGTGTAGAGGAGGTTGTATTAGGGATAAAAGAGTCAGAACAACCAATGAATAAAAATGAAGAAGTGACTTAGACTTTTCTACCAGTGAAATAGGTAGGCTCATTAGGTAGTGTGCCTTCACTGGATGTTAAAAGAGTGTGGAAATAATTTTGTAGGAGAGATTTCTTTATACGAAGATTGGACGTGTTCTCTCAGTTCCGGTTTTAAGATCCTGTGAGTGAAATAGCAGCAGGGAAACATACTTGATCTTTAAAGAATGAGTAGAATTTATGTGAATGCATGGGTAAAGGACACCCCCCCCCTTGCCTCTTGAGATAGGTAATACACAAAAAAAGGTACATATTTTCTTTGTAAATATTTTTTTTTTTCAACGTTTATTTATTTTTGGGATAGAGAGGGACAGAGCATGAACGGGGGAGGGGCAGAGAGAGAGGGAGACACAGAATCGGAAACAGGCTCCAGGCTCTGAGCCATCAGCCCAGAGCCTGACGTGGGGCTCGAACTCACGGACCGCGAGATCATGACCTGGCTGAAGTCGGACGCTTAACCGACTGTGCCACCCAGGCACCCCTCTTTGTAAATATT